AGGTAAGTTTCGTGTAAATTTCTAGGAATCGTATTTTTATACCGTATAGTAATCAGTGTATATCCTCAAATTTTACTTGGTATTTTACCAAAGTGATTGATTCAACACTCTCACTGTTATGCGGAACCATCCAAAGACATTTGAGGTTGTGTAGACTCTTAACACGCTTTGGCGGAACACACCATTGGGTATATATCTAACTTAAAAACTAAAAAACTTTTTTAGCATATTTGAAACCATTAGCATGGAAACATTCTGTACTACGGAAGCCTTGACACACGTTTTGAGTAGTTCATTAAGATGCACGGGACGCGACAAGTTATTCGGCGAATGTATGTATCCACGTATCAATTTATGTGCGGTTGGTTCTGCCGGTTTTCTTTTACAGGAAAATGAATGTATACAATAGCTATGAATGAAATTATTCTGATAGTTTCATACGTAATTTCTTCGGTTAACGAAACTGCAGCAATTATAACTTCGATTCTTTTCAAAGTCTCGGTGGTCCAACTAATAACAAACTTGACGTCAATGGAATAGAAAGCCTAAACACCACGATTATTGCAAAACGTTACTCTTTAAGACTTGTCTAAAGGTGCTTTCCTTACAAGCGTAATCTAATTAGTCTATAGACGTAGGATTGTAAAGGTATTCATGGAGGTATCTTTTCAAATAACAGACAGGATGCTATTACATTGTACAAAAGGCAAACGTGTAGCTCATCAATTCAATATTATACTATAAAAATGCTTTTCATAAAAGTAAATTTTTAACACGAGCTTAAAACTTTTTTTGATAAAATTTGTATATTTTCTGGAATTTTATTATAAAAACGTACGTATACAGCGCCCTACAAATGACGAACTAACTATAATAAGTCTTCTTCGTAAAGTATCGATGGCATACACTATAATGCTTGTCATCGCGGTTAAAGGATTTGCCAATCTGTGTAAAATACTTGCCGATTGTTGGCCAGGATTCGTCAGACGTACAGGAAAGGAAATGGTATGTCGTCGTGCGGGAAGGCCCCTTCCGTACACTCCAAAGTTTTACTAAGTCTGAGCATAGCGATCGCAAGTTTATCATGATATTAAATTATTTTTTGTTTTACTCCACTAGTTTGTTATAATGATTAATACGAAGATCGAACACTGAGAAAAGTCCTTCGATGCGGCTGGATTTGAACGAGCACCTTCAACCATACCATGTCAGGCGCTCTCTCAACTGAGTTTAATTACGTTGTGACGACGGATAGTCGTGCAGTTTAAAGTGTCGTGGCTTGTACATTTAAATGAAGTTGTTCACACATAGTACAACACGATTAACTGTCGTTTACGACTTTTTTGACTTTACGACGACAGACTGTCGTGACAATGGAAAGTGCTAGAATGATAGTCGTCCGACTATAAATAAATAAGAAGTTGAGAAGACTAAAGTAAATAATAATAATTATAAAAGAATAAAAAATTAAATTAAAACAATTGATAATGCAGTGAGTACCTAATTCATTCATATTTTAGGAACATATAAATATAAATACGTTAGTACACAATACAATACAATACAAAAATTCTTTATTGTACACCAAAAAAGGAAACAAATACAATACAATTAATTTTTTAAAATACGCGGTGGTACAATGGGCGATCTTATCGCGTTAAGCGATTTCTATCAGACAACCTTTGGATGGAAGTAATTATATAATAGTAAAGGAAAAGTATATTATTGAAATATCTTTATCTTATATTTTAATCATTAATTTCTCTTCACAAGTACCACTTTTAAACCGCCCGCCCATAGCGGCGCGGATATCTGACAGCGGTGACATCGCGGCTGTTTGGAGCTGCATTGTGGCATTTACATTTTGAGTGTAGCTGTGAATTAATTGCACTGGTACGTGTGAATGGACAATGAGTTTTCATTCAAATTCATCCCACACTTTTGTCGCTGTCGCGTGGTAGTAATGACGTTTGAAAGTGGTGCGTGTGAGAGCCTAATCTATCGCACATGTTTGATGGAGTGAGTTTTGATAGTAATGATTTTCCGCTATGAAATATATTTTCGTAATGCAAATTAATATAAATGCAAAAGTAACTTTGTATACAACGTTTACACGCCTTAATCGCTGAACCAATTTTGGAATAGAAATAGTAGGGGACGTAGGAGAAGGAAAATACGAGTGTGAAATAGGGGATGAAAGTTTGCATGGAGAACCTATAAAACTATGAAAACGAGCATAGTTTTTTAAATTTCTTTTTATAAAGTCAAGTGACGGGACGGACAACTCGTGCGCCAAAAGGTAAGCTAAAGTTAAATTGCAAAGATCTAGGGGCACTACCACTGCGCCCGTCACCCTGAGACATAAGTTGACAAGTCCCATCTGCCTGTAATTTCACCAGCACCCTTACTCTTCAAAACCGGAACACAGTAATGCTGACAATACTGCTTGGCGGCAGAAATATGTAGGTATAGTACAGTAGGCTATTCGAAGTACTTATCTGCGTAGACGACGTCGCGGGTACCAGCTCGTGAGAGTCGATACAAGCTCAAATAGCTTTGGTTGACTCCGTATAACAGTGAAGGTGTTGAATGAATAAATTTGGAAAAAATACATAGTAAAATTTAGGATATATACTGAATTAGTATACGGTGTGATTTCTAAAAATATTCACGATAGAAAAAAACGCAATCTGATCTCGAAATTTTACAAGAAAACCTCTGTATTCAATACGTACTTTTTTATATCAACTGGACTAAATAGAACAATGTATATCGCATACTATACGAGTATACGATATACATTTTTCAACTGCCTTTAATTTCGTTTGTAAAAAAATGAAGTCTAAAATAAAGCCAGAGTCCCGCCATTGCCGCCCGACTGGAGCAAAAGAACCGATTCAGTACGGGAAAAATTATAATTCGAGCTGACGTAATATCCAATTATGACCGCTTACCAAAGATCGGAATAGGTACTGTATCTAAGAATAGGTACTAGATGCACCCTAGACGATGAAAAAAAAATTACCAAAGTATGTATGTATTGTATCCTTAGAGGATGGAAAAAAATAAAGGAAATTGTATCTGACACGTCGCTATGTACGTTTCTCTTCGTAGAGGGAGAATAAAAAAAAGAATAGAATAGCTTCTCGCGTATACTGAAAAGGGATACCAACAGAGTACCTATAAATTCTGGGTTCTACTTTTAAAATTTTACCCCGTTAAAGAAATTGAAATGAAAATGAAGCCGTGGCAACCTAATGGTTTGACCTAGTGCCTCTCAATCAGAGGATCATTGATTCGAATCCAGACTCGCACCTCTGAGTTTCTCGGAATTTGTGCGAAATTTAATTTGAAATTTATCATGAGCTTTTCGGTGAAGGAAAACAACGTGATGAAACGTTGAAGAAAGTTCAAAGTCCTCGAAAAACGTGTGCGGTTCCCAACCCTCATTGGGCCAGCGTGGTGGACTGTCGCCTAAGCACTCGCCTGAGAGGAGACACGTGCCCAGCAGTGGGACGTATAATGATAAAATATCTGCCGAGTCTAAGGAGGGAGAACCCGCCAGACCACATTTAACTTGGTTGAGTTTTAGTAACCAAATAAAACAATTATGATAAATCATTACTTTTTTAGTGACGCTTGAACAGTATTATTAACTTAGTATACATATTTCGAACTGAAAAAATATTGAAAAGTAAAAAAAATACAATATTTAAAATGACCCATAAATTGGGGAAAACATAGTGGCAAAAGCACGGTATCCCTAAAATCAACTTAAGCCTGTCTAATTTAATTTATACGTTATTTATTTCATCTCTCTTTCTCGCGTATTATAACCACTGCTGGTAGAAGCGAGATGGACATATTTAACAAAAGTAAGATATTCTCCTTATTTTAGGAGGTTTATACGATGTAAACAAAAATCTTTCAATCAAGAAAAACACTTCAAATGTCATCTAAAATACATGAAATCGTAATATTCCAGGCTTGTAAGAGTATTTCACACATAATTTAACACTTCACATTTCACAGTAATTCATACAAGAAACTTCATTAATTTTAATGAAAAATTAAAACTTACGTGTGAAAGGTTATGTTGGGAATTTTTCGTTCCGTACGACTTTTAAAGCCATTGACTTACAAATAAATGGACGACGGGTCTAATACAAAAACCACGAAAAAAATGTCCCAAGTCAACCTATTCGAAATTTAAATTGTAATGACATCGCAGTATCGCGCTTTCAGTCGAACAAATGATGACTAAAGCGGAGTTTGGCGCTCTGTATACGATTTTAGCGCCTTACAAGTGCGGACACTTTTTAGCGCGGACCCGACGTCCATATAATTGTAAGTCAATGTTTAAAGCCTAAAATATAACAATGCTCCTTTATTGTGAGCTGCAATAATTGTCAATTACTACAAAGGAACGGTTAGTAACTTTGTAAAACACTTCTTAAAAGCACAAACACTTAAAATCGACGCACATCAAACACTCGGAAGGATTTGCTGGACTCAACGAGTGTTCAGTCATACAACCAAAACCGCATACGTTGAACGGGACAAAAAATAATATGGTTTTCTCGTTTACTCTGATATGTCTGTGCATAAATCTATCTCGCTTATATGGTTTTTATTATTTATAGAGCCCCTCTACCCAATTCTCCCTCTACGTTTCTCTTAGACCTTTATTTATTTACATCCTCTAAGACGTTTGTGGTATTGCAAAATATAGAAACTCCTTCGCGGAAAAAAATGGAAGAATAAAGTTTAGGACATAATTATTCGGCAAGTAAAATTTAAACTAAATTAAATAAACAAAATTAAAGTATTTAATTAAGAATATATTTATAATCTTTTACAATTTTAAGTTATCGAACGAGGTCCTATATACATATTAAGTAAAGAGATATTACGCATTTTAAGTTAGTATTTATACCTAGTACAGAGATTTCACGTCATTAAAAGTTTATTGTCTTTGGTGCTAAAGTCAAAAAGCCCTAGGGAAAGTGAAAAAATCTAGGAATAATTTTATTCACAAATTTATAAATTCACGTAAAACATTTATTTTATAGCAGCGTCGTTTAAATTAAACCTAAATATTGACCATTATGTATCATTAATATTTTGCACTATATTCGAGTTTTCAAAAATATATTACTTTTAGAAATTTATGAAAAATGCATAAAAGCGTTACTTCAAATATTTTGTGGTACATAGAATTCATAGCTTTCTTTATTTTATTGTCATTGTTTTTCGTCTACTTCTTATACTTGGCGAGGTTAAATTATATATCGTACAATAGAAGATACGATTTTATACGAAAGTAAGTATTTTTTACCATTTTGTCTCGTTCAAATACTTGTCATACCCTTTTTCGACGGATTTCGTACTGTTATAAGGGCACGTTCAAATTAGCCGCTGTTACATGCGCTGCAACAGCGCGGCGGCCGCGCCACAGTCGCGCTGCTAAAGTGCGACCAAATTTTCCCATGCCTTTTTTATCCAGTCGATTGGAATAACCGGCGGAACATATCCCATATTGCAGAGTGTTGTTTCACATTCTCTATAAATGCTTCAATCCAATTTTCATCCATCGTGGTTAATTTGAAAAATTAATATGTACACCTCGCTCGCGCAACGCAACGCGCCCTTAGCCTCAAACAGTAGATCCAGGAAGTATTTACAATCTCGTCTGTTTGCGGTACCACGTTTAAGAAGAATAAAACGCTACAAATACCAAAAACACATTTCAAAACTTATGCATCTGATTAAGGTTTTCACGTGGAGAATTACTTGAGAAAGATGCGTTTATTTGATAAAGATTGAACATTTTGATGTTATTCCAGAGAAGTTTTAAATTTTTGCTCACACTTTTTGAATATAATTTTGATTAAATTCTAGATACATAGCTGATGGGACTTGGCTAATTCAGGGCTAATATTAGATAAAGCAAAAAATCCTGGAAATTACAGAAAATACGGAAAAGCTTGCTAAGTAAGTGTAGTTTTAAATAGGTAACTGCTTTTACAATAAACAACATTCTATCAGTCGACTTTTACTTAGAATATATTGAATTAAGGAACCTAATTCCATTGTTACACTAATTGTTTAAAAGTATGTTATTGATTGATGATGATTATTTTAAGGAATAACTAGCATTACAAAATCGAAAAATATTGCATTTATATCTAGAATATTCAATGACAATACACATTAAAATTAAAAAAATTATCAATACAAATTTTCGCATTTATAATTTAGCTGACATGAGAGATTTAATTTAACACTTATGAGTGCTTGTTACAGAATAAATGTACCGAAAGTAAAACCGAAGGTTACCATTGTAACTCCGAATCAAAGGCCAATATGTGTGGAACGCAGTTGTATATGGTTTTGCAGGATGGTTGCCAGCATATTTACAGTTTCATTGTGCTACTACTTTGCGTATTCTCTCGTTAATAACACCAAACTGAAGTTCGGCTTATTCTTGCCACCCTAAGCCTTTAAACATTAATATACATATTCGATCATTAGCTAATTGCTTTTGGTACGCATTTTTTAGAAGCGTTATAGATTCCTTTATTTAAATGCCTTTTCCGCGTAAAATTTCTTGGGATCCAACATTATTCTGGTGCTGTGGCTTAATGATTTCTATATTAATGTTGTTCATGTTTTTGGTTTATCATTTCAAGCATTGACATACCAACGAATGGACGTCGGATGAGCGCTAAAAAGTTAAAATCGCATACAGAGCGTCAATCGCGCAACAGTCTTCGTTTGTTCGACTGACAGCGCGGTTGTCAATCATGCAGTACCTACCAATAATAATAACTTTTAAAAGTTACTACAGTAAAGTGTAGAAACAGGATTTTGTTACATATTTTCACTTAACAAATTGTGTTGTCATAGTTCTCATTTAAAAGAAATATTTTGTACAGTTTTACAATATTCAATTTATATATATGTATAATATGAATCGTAAATATAAATTACAAAAGCACAAAATAATCAATAGCTAACTGTCCTTTTTCTACACATTGCATGCGCAAAAGATGGTAAGAGACCCATTACGTCAGTTTCAAGAAGCTTATATAAACTTCTTGGTCGTTTTCAATTGTTCGAATCTCAAGCGATTGAAATATTTAGGACAAAGAAACTATAGAGTTGCTTTGATTTTAATCTTATTTCTAAAATATTTTTTTTATTAAACGATAGCAATAACTAACAAAATATTGTTGTACTCGTTTTACGGCTTGGGATTACTTATCAAGTTAGAAAATACATTTGCCCGAAATAACGTTAGCTCGAATTTTCATAATGTCAAATGTATTTTTTAGAAAGATTACAAAACAAACGCTAATTTTGTCTTTGTGAAAAGCATCAAAATTACTCGAAAGCATAACGGTTTTATTATAAAGCGGTGTTCGGAATAACGGATATTTGAGTTTACGTTTAGTTGGAATATCGGTACATTTCTTATACTACACGCCTATTTTCACATTTGTAGTAATATTTGTATGTATGTGTGTATCTGCGCAACTCTTTATTATTATCTTTAAGTGAATTTGTACAAAATTAGACATAATAATATATATAATAAAATGTATAAAATTAATTAATATTTACGAGAAAGGCTACTCCATTACTCTTGTGTTCAAGTAATTTTTAGTCGAAGCTAAATATGGTGCATTTTCTTTAAGTTTCCAGTAGAAGCTGAATCTGGTGTTTTTGGGCCCTTAAATTGTTGCAAGCAAAATTAGGCAGTACTGCAATGACGTTAGAATTTAAATTAAATATTTTAGTTTTTTATATTTCGTTACATGTCACTACGTTTGTATAGGTTAACTTCGGACATTTTTTTGTGGTTTTTGTATTAGACCCGATGTCCATTTAGTGGTAGGTCAATGATTTCAAGTGATTTTTTTAGGTATGAGGTACATATTTTTTTGCTATTGTTTAATTTATCAAATAATTTTTGTCTCTAACCTTAAGTTCGTAATAATCAATGTAAATTTTTAGGTGTTTTGTCATTTGGTGTGTGTATAAACGTGTTACGTAATTATTACTCAAAAAGTTATTAGGTATGATGGTATTAAAATTACATTTACCGTTGTATCTTTACGATTTTTGCTATTGCTTTGTTTATCAAATTATTTCTAACCCCCATCAATGCTAACCCCAAACATAAACTTTAAATGATTCGTTATTTAGTCCTTTTAATCAACTATTAACTGAACTTAACGGGTATCAATGCAATTTTTACCCGATTGCGGGAGGGTTATGTTCTTTAAGTGTATGTATGTCACACTGTACAGCTTGGTGTAAACAAATAAATAAAAATATGAGGTGTCGTTACATTCGTCTTGTTTGTAAGAATGTCATAGGCTATAAAAAATATTAAAAATAGTGAGCAGGGAATATTTTTTTTATCTTTCCAGAGTGCGATTCACGTAAGTTCAAGCTGTTGAAATATCGTTGAAGTTACGTAGTCGTTCGATCGAAGTCCTATCCAAAATGGGTATCACTTGAACGAACGTTTATATGAGTTGAATCTAAAAGTAATGACTAATGAACGCCATCTTGGATTGTGAAATTTGACATTTAGTCGTCGCAAGTCTTGAAAGAACTGTCAAAATTCTAGCAGAATACGCGTTGACTTACAAAGAATACGTATGACTTGCCGTTTAGAGTCGATCGTATACCGGAATACGCTTTAAGACACATTGGGATCGGAACGACTTTAAAATTGAATTCGTTGACGTTCACTGTCACACGTGAATACGAAAAAGCAGTTCCGACTAAATCGCTACGATATCGTAACGGTTTGATTACGTGAATTACCCCCCAGAAAAATATTTTTGCAGTCGGGTATTTGTTTTTTAACAGACTTCAAAAAAGGACGAGGTTCTCAATTCGACTGTATGTTTTTTTGTATGTATGTTACGCGATAACTCCGCCAATTGTGAACCGATTTTGATGGTTCTTTTTTTGTTGGAAAGAGGGTACCTCCGTAGTGGTCCCATTTAATTTTGAAGAAAATCATCCATCTCTAAGGGGGCTGTTCATGCATGAAGATTCATTTTTATAAATAGCGCCTAAATTTTATTATAAGGAGCAATTATTTTAATGGTTGATTTTGCTATTCTCCAATTCAAGGCGTTTTTATCTCAATATACTTTGAGTAGTGACAACCGATTTTTATTATCTCCTATATTAAGTTCCGTATAGTGGCGAACTAGGGGATGAATCCAGGTTTGCGCACTTTCTGGTAACCGATTTCAATAAAACTACAAACAGATGTAATTCCACATACTTTTTAGGTCGGTTTTTTTAGTACTCTGTACTGATATTTTAAATAATTTTTAGACTTGTTGCTAGACAGGTTTCGAATAAGGAGGTCTTCTCCTGTTCTCTGTCTGACATCCGTCCGAAACAATTATTGTCAATGATACCGACCAAATCTATTTATTGACTAAACTAAGACGCGTGATGCAAATGAAGTTTCATACTTGACCATTATCTTTTGACTTGATCGAGTACTATTAATTGACAGTAATGGAACGAAAGTAGACTCCCAGACCTTGATCCTTATTTATGAGCTTCCGCGGCGGTGACTCGCCACTCTAACTAACAAACTGCCTCTGTGGCCTAACGGTTACCATGCCGGACTGCCACGCAGAGGTCCCAGGTTCGATTCCCGGGCCGGTAGAAATAGTTGTATGGCCTACAATTATTTCTCTCGTGAGTTTGGATGTAATTTGTGGTTGTCTATGTGTGTGTCCATGGCACCCGCGACACAGGGTTTCCCTAGTGCGGGGCTATGTTGAGTGTGTGCGTTATTTATTATTATTATTTATTTATTACTCGTACAGGTGCAGACGGTGGCGGTGAGCAACTACCCTCTTTTGCTTCATTCGTATTAAAAGTCATATTATTATGGAGGATTGCACATTACACTAACAACGTCACGTTCTAAAGTCTTATCCTCACTAACTAGTGACGTAGTACCTGTAGCAGTGTTTTCCGAGTGTTACGTAATCTACTATTTGGCTACTTCGACCGTTTTTTTAAATATAATAGGGTTAATTAAATTTTTATTGAATATACCGTGCCAGACGCTATACCAACTAAGCCACGGAACGAACCAACAGACCTCACGAATTTTTCTATGTTTTCGACGCAAGCACATCGGTTCGAATCCGACCGTATCGAAGGAATTTTTTCTGAGTGTTTTTTCTGAGTGTTCGATCTTTGTATTAATAATTATAACAAACTAGTGGAGTAATTTCACAAAATATAATTGAATATTAATTCAATAAAAATTTAATTAATACAGTGAATAGCGACATCTCTCGCCAGGACTGGTAGCTGTAAAGGTACTAACTGGGTGATAAATCTGCAATGGATTTCTCATAGATGGCGTTACGACTAAAAAGTCGTTGAAAGACCAAGTGCAAAGACACGACGCAAGCACATAGAAAAATTCGTGAGGTCCGTTGGTTCGTTCCGTGGCTTAGTTGGTATAGCGTCTGGCACGGTAAGCAAGAAGACGTCGGTTCGAATCCGACCGGATCGAAGGAATTTTTTCTGAGTGTTTTTTCTGAGTGTTCGATCTTTGTATTAATAATTATAACAAACTAGTATAATAGAGTTGTTCCATGCTGACAATTTTTCTTAAAATAACTCTTACCCAAAATTAGTAGACTATTTCCGTTGACCTACCAATAAACTATTTCATATTGAATATCGACTGTGAACTGGCAACCGGTACTATCTCAATTTTGACAATTATACAGGACGAAGACAAGAACTGTTTGCGTAATTTATAATTTTTTCATTTAGTACAAGTTGAATGAAGTCGATTCTGGCGCCAAGATTAAATGTATCTGAGATGGAATTTCTTGCAACGCTGCGGAGTATGAAATAGTATAAAATGGTATTAAAAAGTGAAATCTTTAGAAAATTGATATAGTACCGGTTGCCAGGTCATAGTCGATATTTAACTAACACTCCAGAAAACTATTTTGTATATAATATCATCATCACCATCTCGGAGAATGTTTATAGTTTGCCACACTCGCTGGCCCGAAGCGGACTTAACACGTTTTCAAGGGTTATGAACAACAAACATGTTTCATCTCGATGTTTTCCTTCATCTTTTTTCGAGAGATATTCCTTCTAGATATTTGCAAATGTAACGATGATGGTAAACTTAGAAATTACATTATCGCAGATCGTAGTCACCAGGTTGCGATCTGCCCTTGTGAATGTCTTTGAACAGACTTCACATCCAGGTAAGTCGCTGCAGGAGACAAGTTGTGTTCCTTTTTATGATATCGTGTAACGGGTGTAGTGTCACTCAGAGCTTTAAATCACAAAGATCTGAGGCGCACTGCCCGTCAACTTGAGACATAAGTTGACAAGTCCTATGTGACTGTAATTGTACCAGCACTCTTACGCTTGAAAACTAAAACGCATTAATGCTTACATTACTGCTCGGCGACAGAAGTAGCTAAGGTGGCACTTACTTGGCTGGACGAACTCTTTCACAAGGACTCTACTGATACTAAATATGTAAATGGGTGTTCAGGAATGCTAGTCCAACCCGATGCGACTGCGGTGCCCCGAAACAGTCCATGCAGAACTTGGTCGTTTGCCGCTCGTGTCCTATTAACTGTACGAGGGAAGATCTCTAGGCGGCTACGGATAGTGCAGTCAAGGTGGCTACATACTATAAGGCTATAAGTCAATGTAGTCCTAAAAGAAAGGAACCATCGACGTGCGAGTCAGAATGGCGGGTGGACCTTAACGGATCCAGACAAATTTGGTATTAAAAAAATGTACTTAAATTGTGCTATTTAGTATCCTTGTTTAAAAAAATTGTATCCTCCATCAGAAAGAAGTTATAG